GTCACGGGACCTGATGACAGAGGTGGGGTTTGTGGGACACATCCTCCCGTGTCCCTTCATGCTCCCGTGTTGAACATTGTGTTAATCCGTCCAGGCTTAAGTTGGGCGACAGATGCCTGGCCTGTGCAACCGGGGGCTTTTCTCATTTGTCTGTTTTGTGCCTCCTCGCCTCCTCTCTCCTCTGTCCTCCTGCCTGTGACCCGGAAATCAATCTCAGTGCGCCAGCTTAAACGACATCTCAATTTAAAATGCATCCTGAGGAGACAGGAGTGAGCGGAGAGGAGCAGTGAGTGACGGTGCATCCATGACGTAGAGGCGTGACACACAACTGATGATGCAGCTGTGCCACAAGTTATATTTAATTGATGCTTTAAAATAGGGATGGGAACTGGTACAGTAAGCCCATGTTGCGTATAGAGAGATGTTTCAGCATATTGCAGCTGTTTCCTTGCTTGAAATGATCATTTTACAGATTACAGGCTGCAAATGAAGCCATGCTTTAGACTGTTTCTTCCTCTCTGCCATGACTCCTTCTTTTCGTGAGTTTCTATCAGCGTAGATGCCAGGGGTGCAAATCACAAGTTTCACCATGATACAATATTAAATCAATTATTTGGTCAACAGTACAATATTTAAGTAAAGTCTGCCACAGTATGTTTTTTTCCATTCAAGGGGCTGAGATTGATATGAGACGATATCAGTAAATATCCCGTTGTCTTCTTCTTGGCTGCTTATCATCGTTTGCCTGGCACTAGGTCGCTAGCACTGTTGAATGTTAAGGTAGGAGGTGTGCTTGTACGGAGATGGTGACACAGATGTGCCATGGGAATTTCAAAATAAAGGCATGTCTTAAAGATGACGATATGTATTATATTGGATAGTTGATCACTCTATCAAAATATTGATTTAGATCGATGTATTGTTACACCCCTAGTAGACGCATGAGTTTGATATCATTATTTTGCAATGTGCAACTATCAGAAAAACATGCCTGCGTTGATAAAAGAAACCGATAAGCTCGGAACTGGAGCTGGTTCTTGATTCCCATCCCTCCTTTAAAATGATGCTGTGAAGCATGAATATCTCATTTTCTTAAAGTCCTGTTGCCTTGACTCCTCTCTCCCCATGTCTCTTCCTCGTCTTCTCCACTCGCATCTCAGCTAGGAGGGACTAAGACATAAGGAAAGGAGTCGAGGATGTACAAACTGTGACTCGACAAGGGATCCTAATGAAGCAGGGTGGGATGTTCGAGGTATCATAGTCAGGCCGAACAGTCTTTCACACTCGGCTGCTTATAATCAAAGTCTGAACCATATGACCTGAGCGTTGCTTGAGCTCCTCAAAAGGACCCCTCTCTCCTTGTCTCCTTGGAGACACATTTAAACGATCGGGACATCCTTGATGATGGCGGACCTTGATTGATTTTCGGGTCATGAGGCAAGAGAACGCAGGAGCGAGGATGGGAGGAAGCATAATTAGCAAAATGAAAAGAATCCATCTCTCTGAATCTTGCACTACTCGTCCTGTCACAGACGTCTCTCTCCTCTCTTGCTCGATGGATGGCAATGGTTGGATCTAACTGGCATGCCAATTCACGCAGGACAAAAAGTGTTACTGCGCTGTCACATCTCTCTCCGCCCTGATTGGCAGCTGATTGCCAGATCAATGAGAAGATGTAGACGCTCAGTCGACTGTGGAACAACGAGGTTAGATGGATACAGTAAAGAGCTCCCTCTGGGCTGGAGGAATACTTTGTTTACACCACACAACAATGTCGCATTTCCTGTTTATCTCCCATCATCCAAACAGAACAGGCTTGGGCTTTTTACACGACATTCCTCCGCTTTGGATTGGTCGTTTGCCTTCCTCAGTCTTTTCTTCTAGAATAATCTCATGGCCAGCTGGCTTCTCCTTGCTCCCATGGTGCCAGTGGTTCAAAGCAAGGCCCCTCGCTGGCAAATGGCGACGAGGCCGGAGCTCTTTAAGTAAAGGCAGTTTGTAGAAAGAAAGAATAAGAGAGAGAGGGATGAGGAGGAAGAGGCTGAGATAGATTCTGAATGGGGCTGACCTCTGATTTGGTCCAGTGTCTATGAAGATATACATATATACTTATGTCCTTATGTAATCAGTTATTAAAGCAAAGTTTTGCAACTGAACGAGCAGAGCAAATGTTAAATTCTTCAGCTACAGCCCAGCTCACAAAAGGCAGCTATAAGCAATTGTTTGAGACCAGATTTTCCATTTACTGCTTAGTGTCTAGCTCGCTGCAGCTCGTGTGAAATCTCACTCTGAGCGGTTTTATACATCACGACCTGAGGTCCATTACCATGGTCGGCTGCCTCCTCGATGAGCCCTGACTCAGATTGTAGCGGCTGTAGATTGAAATCCTCCCTCGCAGGCGTGTGCAGCTCCTAAAGAGTATCTGTGCATCCTGATCTGTAGCTGCAATCTGCCCTCAAACAAGGTCTGTCATGTATTGATCTGTAAGAATGCATCAGGAGATCTCCCAGTGGCACACGTAGCAGGACAGCATTCTGCCTGAGCAATGAAATCTCTGAATTTGCGTGACAAGGACATTTTATCTGTACCTACCCAGGGAGGAATATTTATCCTGTTCTTCACTGTGATGGAAAAACCTTAAAGATCGATCACTTTCACTCCATCTCTGCTTAAAGGGGCACTGCGGTGATTTAGTACTGCACTAGTATTGCATGGGCGGCTGTGGCTCAAAAGGTAGAGCGGGTCGTCCACTAATCGGAAGATCATTCCACATGTCGAAGTATCCTTGGGCAAGATACTGAACCCCAAATTACTCCTGATGGCTGTTCCATTGGTGTGTGAGAGTGGATTAATGTGTAGCTGAGTAGCTAGTGGCACCTTGTACGGTAGCCTGTGTGTATGAACGGGTGAAGGTGACATGTAGTCGGTAGACTAGAAAGGCTATTTAAGGGCAGGTCCATTTACAACTCACAGATCAATTAAGTAACGAATGGTCAAAATCGAAGCAGCCAATACGTCCCGACTTGTTCTCCCTATATGGGTCAAGCTCATAAAGAACTGGATGCTACATTTTCCATAATGCAAATGGATTTAGTCTTTGATTACACCCTCACTTCCTCGTAAATTCCACATCCAAAAATCCACACCTTGAGTTTGTAACACAGGCTTTTTGTTGCAAATGTCATCTCGGAGCCCAAGATGAAGTTGAATTAACCCTTTTGATGTCACAGTGATGCCATTTTCTCAGACTTGACCAAGAACATATTAAATGTCTGTTTTCAGACACTGAGCAGGATTAATCATCAGTAGTAAACTGACATTTATGCCTAAAATCTGTGGCTTTTTATGATTGATTAACCTGTTGATCATTTGTGGATCAGTTGATATGAAACAATGATGAAATGATGAAACAACAACATGAAATACAAATTTGTGTAGCCAAACTGTAATTTAATCTTTGATTTAATCTATATAATGCCAAAAAACAGTAAAAAAAAAGATTGTGACTTATGTCCAAACATATAGACCGAATTGCAATAGGTCCTTTTCCACCAACATTTCCAGGAACTTTTATTACCAGGAATTTCTTTACCTGGGTAAAATTATTCCTGGTAATCTGTGTGGTTTGCGTTTCCACAGCACCTCAAAGTTCCGGAAAATGTATTCAAATCAGGCTGATGACATATAGGGTATAGTGGTAAAAGACGTAACGGAACAGAAGTGCGGAATGCTACAAGTGTGTGTTCCGCCAATCAGCGTTCTTCAGCAAAGAGCTCCACCCCTCAAGAATTGCGGGGAACTGAAAAGTCCTACCCCCTTACTAGGTACTTTTTTCAGGGAAAGTTTGGGGTTGAGGGAGGTTTTTTCCCCGGGTAATTTTGGTGCAAACGCGCCAGGGTTTTTCAAAATCCCAGATACATGATAAAAGCTCCTGCGGTGGAAAAATATCTTCTGAGTTGAAAATCCCTGGGGCGTGTACATAAAATGAAACAGCGCTGAGCAAACACTGCCGTAATGACTTAGTTTATAGCCACCTAAAAATAAATCAGTGTAAGCGTATGCTATATGTACAATATTTCCATCTCTTCACCTTGACATCATACAGCCTTTTTCTGATGGGAAAATTAAAGCCGCTATCTCAGAGCCATCAGACTCCATTGACAAAAACGGTAATTTTACTTCGCAGAACACTGGAGTTGCTGGTCTACAGCTGCCTCTATCAGTTTGTGTGTAAGATAAAAAAGGAGAAACACACAAACTGATGCTGATTTTTTTTAGGTTGCGGTAGGCCTCGTCCAGTAAATTTTGTTGTTTACGATCTGTGTGAGTAGACTAGGTTTATCAAAGATGCTAGCAAAACAGCACAGTACATATAGGTTGGACCACTGTGGTTAATGTCTTTGAACGTTACAGTTACTGCTGAAAATGACGACAGAAATAAACAAGTTTGTTGATTTCACATAGCTTCGCAATTCAAATCAATTTCCAGTTGTTGACCAGGAAGTGATTGTTGTTGTTAGTGTGATGCTACGGTGATTTGTTCAGTTGAATTTACAATGATTACCAGAGAAAAACATCAAATCCCCAAATTTAAGAGGCTGAAAGCAGCAAAAGTTTGTATGAAAAATTGCTTGAAATATTTATCAATTATCAAAATAGTTGCTTGATTTTATTACAATCGACTACTTGCAGCTCTTGGAGTAAAAAATTGAATTGCTTCCTTTGAATTGTGCTGGAGTAGAAGTATTAAGTAGAGTGACATGTAAATACTCAAGTACAGTACCTCTAAATTGTCCTTAAGTGCAGTAGTTGAGTAGTACAAATCATTTTTAAAGTGAAAATTTACCTCTGATGAGTTCATGAATCTGGAGCTATCAAATCACTCGTCTGTTCTGTCAGAAATTTGTGGAAAACAGTCACCATAGTTTTGTGTTTTTCACATTGTTTCCCATGGGTAGTCTGTAGTCTGTATCTCATGTGTTTTGTCTCCCTCCCGTCAGAGATGTGGTACTGGGTGTTCCTGTGGTGTCTCTTCTCCTCGCTCTTCGTCCACGGGGCGGTGGGGCTGCTCATGTTGGTCATGCTGCAGCGCCACAAGAGGGGCCGCCTCATCACCCTGGTGCTCGTCAGCGTGGGTTTCCTGGCCTCCCTCTCCGGAGGCGTCATCACCAGTAAGTACAGTCATACACTTTTTTTTTTTTTATTTATATGGTAATCTTTTTTTTTTTTAGACTGACCTCAACAGCGTTCAGCATCCAGTCATCCAGATAAAGACAGGAGGTGACAGGGAGGGAAAGAGAGTGGGATGGAGGGAGTTTGTGTGTTAACTCCTGTCAAACAGAGGAGGACAGGAGATGACAGTGAGGTTTCAGACACGTGTTTTCTTGGTTACCTTTCTTTTTTGTTTATGTAGCACAGGAAGCTTCGATTATATCTGGATGATGATAATTAAGGGTGGTTATTGGTGCATTTACAAGGTTTGTACACCCAAGAAAAATAATGGCTAACAATCTAAGTGCAGTAATGTAGCCTCTGAAGACAGATGGTGTTAAACTGTCACAACATTACATTAGAGTTGGGAAATAGTTGGAAACTAGTGCCAACATGATACCTGCAAGGCTAGATTACAAATTGGGCAAAGTGGGTTCAGACCCCCGGGAACCCTGACCAATTAGTTTAATCCATTTCTGTTAATACTTAATGCACCACTCAGTCACAATATACAGTGAAATAAGAGGGGCCTTAAAGAGGCACTTCAGTGATTTTACACATTAAGATCAGTTTACTGGGCATGGCCAGCACCAATCTGTGAAATCTGAATTATATGACAAAGAGATGCCATCAAGTTTCACTGTGGGGATTGCAGGATGCAGTGTTAATGGACCTTATACCAAACTACAAACTAAAAGTCAGGACATTTAAGTCTCTGCTGTGTTGATTTTAAGATGTGTTACACAGGTCAGCTCTTAAAGAGTGTTTCAACGTCATGATCACAGCAATTAATGCAAATTCAACCAATCCCTGTGAATTTCACGCAATCTTGCAATTTCGTCCAATCACCGCAACTTTTCTGCAACTTTATCAATCATTGCAGTTTGCCATGAGTTTTCCAATCATAGCAGTTCCCCCCAAACTCACTTCCTTGTGTCTGTTTGTGAGATGCAGACAGGTGATGCAAATCTTCTGCAAGAAAGCGGGGGAAAACCGTTTTGTGCACTGTGCAACTTTTAGATGGAACACAAACAACATCGATAGAAAAATCACACACACAAAAAGACTGAAACCTGTTGACAACAGATAAGACAAGTCGCTGTGATAGAGTTTGTTGCATCCAGATCTATTGCATGTTTTGAAAGAATCAAGGTGAGTTAGATTAAATATCAATGGTGGGTGATAATGTTAGTGCAGAATAAATCACAGATTCAGAACAGTGCGGTTTTATTCTCACTGGAAAGGTTTCCTTTACATTTTTAATGAATCTCACAAAAAAATAAATTGTAGCTATTTCACAATTGTCACTTGCTCCTGCAATTTCTTGCAAAAATCTCTCTAAAAACATTGCGGCATGCAACAACTTTGAGAAAAGCTGCTGTGAAATCAAGCCTTGTAGGCTTCCAGGAAGCCCACAAAGATTCAAGAGAGGCTGAAAGTCAACACCTGCAGCAATACCTGATCTTGAGGTCCCCATCTTTCTAAATTAAATATAATTAATGCAAAAGTCATGTGACAAAAAAGGTCTGAAAACAAGCAGTCAGACAAGATATTTGTTTAAGATTTATGTCTAAAAAGCAAACAAACAAAATCATGTTCGGACATTTCATACCACTGTTTGGTCAGTACCAAAATACTGTTGAGGTTCAGTACCCATCCCAACTTCACAATAATCCACACCTTGGATTAGTTCACCCAGTGTGGTCTGATAAATACTCAAGACCAGGGCGGTAAAAATAAATGGATGATAATAATGATTAATGAGGATATTTTCTGGTATTGACATATTGCAGCAGAGGGCTGTTCAATTACAAACTCCATAGTTTCAAATCGGAAATGTGGAAGGGCCAAACATTTCTCAGCAGGCGATTCAAAACCTTTTTTTTTTTTTTTAGCTTTTGGTAGTGACAAATTTTAAACAAATGCAAATGAATGTAGTAAAAAATAGCAATGTTCAATGTTTCACTTTTAAAATGTAAAAATATACTCTTGGTCACACGTGTATCTCAACATCTGGCACAACACATCAAAAGTCAATATATACGATAACATTGAAAGTTCCAAAATTATAATACAGAATTATGGCACAAAAGAAAATAATAAATATTGTATCCCAGTTCTACCTTTACGCCACATTTTCTGGCTGCATTGTGTCACATTTTTATTTATATTTGTTTACCTGAACACGCTTTACAGGTTGTCTGTTAGCAGATGCAGCAGATAATATTTAGGCCTTGCTTTGTCTTTCATTACCTTGCACTCACTGTAACAGAGTGTGATCACAGGGTGTGTAAACAGACCTAAATCTATCTGAGTGTAGGGCCAGAGCTTTTCAGGGCTGAGCTCAATGAATCACTCTCCATCATAGATGCAAGCTGGTCCCCAAAATAGAAAGACACTTTATTATTAATGTGTAGCAATCAGGGAGAGCAGACTATTGACTGTGAGCACACACACACACCCACACACCCCTCAGTCTCACCCTCCATGTGTACACCAGCCTGGCTTAAAGTCAAAGTGTGGTGGAGCAAAGGCAGCAATCTCAGCCGAGCAGAAGGAAAAGAAAGGTCACGTTGTGTTGGGGAAAGAAAACATCAACCTTTAAAGCCTCCGAATACTGGGTTTCAGATCCTGAGCATTTCTCTGGTAGATAGCTAACTAAAGATAGTTCATTGTTGAGCCTCATTCCCAGGTTGTCGAGCTGGAAATGAGGCTCAACAATCAGCTTTTCTCTCTCCAGAGTGACACACAGCACTTTCAAGTACCCATAACTATATAACAATCAAATGTTTTTGTTTATTAAGAGGTGAACAGTGAAAAAATCATCTGATCTGTTTAATCAGGATTGTGAGGGTGTGTTTTGTGGCAACATAAGTAAAGACAACCATAACTGCCTTCACATTTTGATTTTTAATTCACCTTTAAATGACTGTTTTCAACTTCCGTTGTGTCAAGACAAGGCTCTTTAGGCCTATATTGGTTCACATTTTGCCAAAGTAGCACCATTAAAAGTATGCCGATATACAGTAGCTGCTAGGGGGTTCTCTTTGCAGTGTACCCCTGGATGTGCAGACAGTAATCACTGCTGGGTTACTTAAATACTGATGAAAACTTAAAATGTGATAATTCTAAAGCAGGTTCTGAAGTTACAAGGAGTGACATTTTTCGATAATGTCTAAGGGGATCTATAGATGTTTATTCACACTGGAGGACATCTGAGGTAATGACTTCCTCAGGAAGTGCAAGTCACACTGAATATAAAAATATGTGTGTCATGGCTGTGTGTTAAAAAACAAGTAAAGTCCACACACCAAAAAGCTCCAATCAAGTGTGATTTATTTAAAGCATGACGTTTTGAGCCATGTCGGCTCATCCTCAGATGCTTACATGTCTGTGTGTTCACATTTAAAAGAGAAGAGTTAAAACTCTGAGGAGGAGTGGGATGTTTGACGCAAACTGCAGCAAACAAACATTAAGAGCCCTGTTTGAACAGTTCAGCAAATTGGAGAAGTGAGCATCTGAGAGTAATACAGTGAGAGCAGTAATGTCACTGCAGCAAATCATGTGGGGCAATTAAGCAGCAAAACTAAAAACTTTTAGCCTCTGCACAGCATCTCTTTTAATGTGGAGTGGGACAGCAGCTCTGCTCTGATCTCTGCTATGTTCACATATTGGAGAATATTGCCAATATTCTCCTCACTGATCATGTGTTATTTCACCCACAGCAACTCATCTGCACGTGCCTGTGTGTAACAGAGTGTATGTTGGTTGAAAACTGGCCGACGTAGGTGTATCTTACTATTTGTGCCCTTTAAATGATATCAGATAGGGAAATACTGCACCATTCTGACTTTAGACCAGGTGTGTTATTGAGCAATGCTGCAGTCGCTTTCAATACACCAACAATGTGCCTGACCACACCTCATATTAAGACCTACTATATGGGCACACAGATGAGGGAAAGTACCTTTGCTACTCACACAACATGAGGGCTGCATCAGTCTGAAACTAGAAATGACAGATGCTGGCAATGCTGCTCTGTGTGCTGCTTTGCACCAGGTGTAAGGGCTCTAAGGGTTTTAGAGTACATTAATAGCCTCCATCATGAGCTGTGTGTGTTGATAAACCAGATGAACTACAATAACACCGGCATGCACCAAACCATTTTACCTCAAGCAGTATTAAAGTGGTTTTAGCCAGTTGCCCCAAATTGCATTTAATTGTACAACCGCATTCATTAAGAATATTTAATATCTTACATGAGGAGGAAACAGAAGATAACTGGAAACATAGCAAGGACAGAATTAGTGTAATGTTATTGATAATGTTATTATTTATTTCACTGTGTCTAAATATTTTTAAATCCTGACTGGTGGACAGAAATATGTGAAATCACCCTTTTCCCACTGAGTCATTTTAAACTACTGAAAGGGCCCAGCCAAACAAAAAAACAAAAAAACAGACAGAAATAACTAAAACTGTTTTAACCACAATTGTGTGTTTATGTGGAGCCCCACTGCTCATAGCATGACCTTTAAATCTAACATTATCGTCTCTGTTTGTTTAGCTTTGAGCCAAAATCAGGCCACTCTGTTTTGGTTTTGAGATCAGAGATTCAAAAAAAGTCCCTCTCCTCGCTGTCTGTTCCCATGACAACGGCCTAAACAACATATTATGAGGATGAGCGTGAACACAGTATGTGGCTGTGCGTCGAATAACATCCTCACATGAACGCTTCAACCATCTTTGAATAAATATTCACTCACAAAAAAACAACTTTTGTGCAGAGTGCTGGACTCCTGGTGGGAGGCTGAAAAGGCGAGGACGGATGTGTTTGTCCTCGCTGTGAATGGACAATCTGCGGTAATGGTGACAGGCTGTGACAGACAGCTGTGTTTGTGCATCTGTGTGTATTAACACTGGTGATGTGTGTGTGTGTGTTTTCCCCCCCTCAGGCGCGGCGGTGGCGGGGGTGTACCGCGTGGCAGGGAAGGACATGGCACCACTGGAGGCTCTGGTGTTCGGCGTGGGCCAGACCACCCTCTCCGTCATCATCTCCTTCTCACGCGTCCTCGCCACTCTGTGAGGCGAAACCCCCTCGACATGTTGAAGCACAGACGCTGAGACGAGAGCGAACGACTCGAGCCAATCAGAGACTTTAAGGTGGCTGGGTTTGTAGATGGAGAGGAGGCAGAAATGCTCTGGACCTTAGGGGCTGGATGAAGGAGAGAGCGCCCCCGGTGTCTCTGCTCTGTTACTGCCACAACCACAGAGGGAACTCAAAGCAGGCCGGTTGTCTCCGTGTCAGAGAGCAGCACCAGGCGGAGACGGTGCCATCCTCAGCTTCTGGACTTGAAAGCCATGTTTTCGGGTGTTTCCAGAGTTCCATCACTTCTTTGTGCCAACAGCCTTCTCTGGGACATCCAGATGCCTTTATGGCCACTGACTCTCGAAGGCTTTCTGTTGCACTTGTGGGGAAAGAAATCCTCTTTTTTAAAAAAAAACAGCAGAGTGACGACCTGTAACGATCATCTGATGATCTCTTTTGGAGATCAGTGTGAGAACAAAAGTTGAGCAATGAGTGGTGTTTGAGGGAGTGACAGCCCAACAGTGTTCATCAGCAGAAACACAGTTATTCGTCAGTATTAAAATCAGCCTCACCTCCAGGTCTCACAATGTTCAAGTTCAGATTATCATGATCATTCCTTTTCCTTAAATGGTTTGAAAGCTGCTCTATCAAACTCACGAGCGAGATGCAACTTTGAATTTTGCACTTTGTAAATGTTTGAAACGCTCTTTGCCGTAGGAGGTGTGGAATCGGTAGACGAGCAGGAGAAAACCAGCATTGGCACTTTGTTTGGTTTGAAATATTGATTCATTGTGTGCCAACGAGAACTCCGATTGATCCTAAGGAATATTTAGACTCAGTGGGATATATGCTTGTTTTACTTTCTTGCTGAGAGTTAGACAAGGAGTCAAGTCTGTACGATAGATATGGAACTACAACCAGGACTCAGGTAGCTAAGCCTAGCATCAAGACTGGAAACCCATGCGCCTTGCATTTTTGGAAGAGCGCCATGAACGCCTCAAGTTGAGAAAACAAGTCAGGAGGCCAGCAATAATCATCCATCCATTCATTTTCATAACTGCTTATCCTCTTGAGGGTTGTGCTGGAGCCTATCCCAGCTGACATCGGGCGAGAGGCAGGGTACACCCTGGACAGGTCACCAGACTATCACAGGGCTGACACATAAAGACAGACAACCATTCACACTCACATTCACACCTACAGGCAATTTAGGGTCACTAATTAACCTGCATGTCTTTGGACTGTGGGAGGAAGCTGGAGTACCTGGAGAAAACCCACACTGACATGGGGAGAACATGCAAACTCTGCACAAAGGTGTCCCTCCTGGGATCGAACCAGGAACCCTCTTGCTGTAAGGCGACAGTGCTAACCACCACACCACTGTGCCGCCAGTAATCATGTTCATCCTAAATATAAGTAATGATAACAATGTTTTATCTTTAACCAAACTATCAACCAGTACTAATTCAAACAATAAAAATAAACACTGTGTTTATTGTTGCTGCAGTAAATCTTAGCCCACGCACATGTGTTGATATAAGTGAAGCAGTTTCCCAGAGGGCCCATTCACTGGACCTGTTCAGGGGTCCAGACATTTCTGTGGGTGGGCCTGGCGTATGTTATTTTTTTTTACACAAAGCGACACGACACAATGGACTCCCTGGTCGCTTAAACATAAATCCCTGTCGGCTCTTTTTGGTTTTTTTTTAACCGGCATTTGTTTTTGTGGATTCATGGATTGACAGCGTTGCGTACTTCCAAACGTTCTCATCCTAGAGGGTGAAAAATGATTTGGGCTTCAGTTGGCGGTTGCGTTCTGTAATCTTTAGTCTCATATGACAACAGGTGTCTTATTGGCAAAATAGTACTGATATTATGTTGCAGTCACAGCTGTGATTATGGAGCATTTTACAACAGCCTTTGAATGCAACCCAGACAATCGGAATCGGGGACCGTGTTTTGTTGCCTTTGTACAGAGTCAGGCTAGCAGTTTCCAGTCTTTACGCTAAGCTAGGCTAACTGTCTCCTGGTTCCAGCTCCGTATTTACTGTACAGACCTGAGAATGGTGTCGGTTTGCTCATCTACTCAGCAAGAAAGCTAATAAGTGTACTTCCCAGAACAACGAAGTATTCCTTTTATACAGATAGAGAAGGGCCTGGAAGCACCCTTGAGCAGATATGATTTTAGGTCTAGTTAGAGAGAGATCCATATCAGGTTCCTCTTATTCAGGTTTTAGAAAGGATGTATTGGTATTAAAAAGGGTTGTTTTGCTGCTTGAGAGTCACATTTTCAAACTATTTGGATTTTCTGTGGTAACGATGGAATCCACTGCTACAGTGTAAACCCCCCTGTGGAAAGCCATCCCTCCCTGGAGAAGGACGATTCTGCTGCTCAGATGGCCATTTTTTCCAATGGCTCCCTCTTTTCTTTGTTTTGCTTATTAACCCATGTTCCTTAAGTTTAACTTTGCATATTGCACTGAAATATACCTGCCTTGTTTTTAGCACAGTGTGCGATGATACTACTCTGGTGTGACCCGACCCAGTAATCACAGTTATTACACACAGGAATCAGTGATAACACACACTGATGATCTTGTTTAGGTGAAGCAAAGAATGTGCTTGAAGCTACTGTATTAAGTCAAACTGGATTTATTGTGTTGATGCATTAGTTTTTCACTGAGAAGAGAAAGATACATTGATTTTATTTAAGTTTAATGCTCATTGCTTGGCCTATTAGTCCTCCCAGAATTCAAACTAATTCTCTTGTGTGCAGCAGGGTGAGAGGAGTAAGGCTGTAATGCCAAAGTATCGCTCATGTTCTAGCTTTATTTACCATCGTTGTGTCATTAATTGATATCACAGCCACGATTTATAGTTGTTTTAGTTTTAGAAACATTTGCACATTGGCTCGGCCCCCAGACGTGGTTCAACTTCATCAAAAACAGTTTATATGAATTTGAGGGAAAGGAAAAGACTTTTTGAGTGATTAAGTGTATGTGCTGTGTGATTTTGTAGCTCAAAGTGTATTTATACGAGTTATGTAATTGACACAGCTCACCTTCAGTACCAGCTCAGCACATAAGAGGGCGACGTTGCACAGAAATGAAGTTGCAGCCTGAATGCCTGAAAGATGATTGTGGATTTTAAAAAAAAATGATGAAAGTGCTTCAGAGTGTTTTGATACAGACAAAAAGTTTTCTATCCTAATTTTCCCCAGAAAAAGTCTAAAATTAGAGCGAAGTCATCTGAACACCTCCCTTTTTATCCACTGAATGCTCTGTACATCATCCATACTACCTGCTTGAATGTTTTAGCGCAATTTCAGGGACCAAATGTGAGTCGCTGCTGATGACTCACCTGCTGTCATAGCAATGAAATCTCTGTGAAGCTGTATGTGAGGCAGTTTCTGCATGTTCGTATGTGTGTGTGGTTCATAGGAGACATTATGAGTGTCGTTGCTGTATTTGGTGTATATCTGTGCGGTTGTGCATGTGAGTAGATATCATTGTTTATTTTCTTTCAGCAGAGGGGGTTGTTCACATTTTTCAGTGGCCCCATAAAGCTTCAGAAAGATTAAGGACTTAAAGGGACACTTGGTATTTTTGAATCTGGAAATAATTTTCCCATGTTTTTGTGTTTAAGTGACTAATGGAGACAAAAGTTTTGGATAGTGGTCCAGTACTGAGAGAGGCACAGTGGTGAAATAGGCTGTAATGTGATCCCTACAGGCAACTGTGCACCAACAATTTACACCCACTAAGGCCCTGTATACATGTATACAGATATTTTTTGAAATAGACATTTTCCCCCTCCGTGTTAAAAAATAATTCTGTCCACATGACCGTGACCATGACAAATGATCTTTGTTCACATTAGAATGCAAAAACAACTTGAAACACTGCAGTCTACCTCAACACAAAGGTAGTAAATGTTACCTTTTTCAAACCACCTACTGGATCTCATCACTGTTGATTACCGATCAATTCAAGGATGAAGTTACTCACTCAAACATGCAAGTGATGCCCTGGACATGCAAAGTCTTGACAGGGTCTTATTTAAAACTGTTGTGTCTGGTGGACTTAAAAACAGTGGACGCTGAAGTGGAGCAAAAACACCGGGTGCAGCAGATGTCTCTGATTGTCCATGAAATGGTGGAGCAACACCAAGTCTAAGGCCACGTTTACACGAAAAAGATCTTCTCATTTTGGTTTAGAAAAAAGTTCCGTGTTCAGACGGCAACGTTTTGATAACAATCGCCGTGCACATGGATCCGCAAAAATGACCAAAAGCACTGTAGTATACATGCCAGGCCAGTAGTTGGCAGTGTGACTTTGTAATGAAACAACACGTTCCTGCGTACATGTGCTTCCTTCTACAGAGCGGTGATGTATAAACTAACAAAATGGCAACGACATGTGTGGTTGCCATTTTGTTTGTTTGTTTGTTTGTTTATACATTTGTGTGGACGCACAACGAGGTGAACTACAGTAAATCTACACTTCGCTGGAGAAGTGTTGATAAATTCAATAGGGTGAGCAGCACAAACAGTCCGCCATTGTTGTGATGGTCAACTCTCTCGTGCATGCCTAGTGTAGTGTATAGTGCACATGTGCGAAAAGTCTCTGTTTTCAGAGGAACTTACCGTTTTTGGTTGAAATCATTGTCATATAAACAGGACCTAAGTGTAAACAAAGTGATAACAGACTGGTAGTCCACCACTGTTATCGTCATTTCTTGTGCTCCCTACACATAGCAATGATAGACATGGGTTAATTAAAGAGATTACATCAGCATTTTCTCAAACACTCTGTTTCACACATCCACACATAACGTTAGCCGGAGTTTTAAAAAATCTAAACTGTAGGTGCGTTTTTAAAAAGTGATCTAAAACTCATGTGGACAAGAGGCCAAAACAAAGAGGAAAATATCAGTTTATAAAACGTCCAGACAGGAACTAAATGTGCGTGTGTTTGCCAGGTGTCTGACAACATTACTGAAAGGACCATACAGAGGAATGAAATGTTTTTCTTTACCTTTTGCTACGGTCTGTTGTGTGCAACCAAGTCTCACTCAAGGAGAAGTCTCGTTCTGAAATCTTGCACACTTTTCCACATTGTGAAACTCAGCTAAATGTTCAGCCATGACATTGAAAATCTACGCTTCCTTTACTCAAACACAACAAACTCTTTGCGGTACTCCCCTCTCCAGCTGTCACTAATATTTCCACCGTTACCTTCTCCTTGAGTCACAATAACAAAGAGACCAGTGAAAGGCAAAGAAAAATGTTTAATTTCTCTGAAGGGTCCTTTCAGTAATGTTGTCAGACACCTTTATAACAATCTGAGCCTGTCAGTGGTCAGTGGACATAAATTGATGGTGCCCAATTGCCTGCAGGAATACACTGCAGCCTGTTTTGCTGCTGCCGGCTGCAGCGTTGTCTCTCAATACTGGACCACTTTAAAAAACCTGTTGTCTCCATTAGCCACTTATGGTGTGTTCACACAATTTCATGTCACGTTACTCACACATACATGTGTTCTTAGGGGTTTGTTTTTTCATTTTTGGAGTAGTTTGCAACTGGTGAATATTTGCTATGCACAGCTATGCTAACGGTTGTGCTAACTACCTGGGGAAGGCAGCTAACGGTTAACTTGCTTTGCAGTAAAGTACAACAGATAGGTGGAAACAACCAAGGTGAACTCAGAGGCTAAACCAGCATGAACCAATATGAAAACACTCAATCATTTTTCATACTGTCATGGCAGCACACTTCCACTTCACTCCTTGTTGTTTACCTTCCATAGTAGTAGACTAGCTTAAATTACTCAGAACATTTTGCTAGGAAGCAGCTGAACAAAAAAGTTTACACAAGTACTTTACCATTTAGTCCTATGGCTTTGCTCACTTGTCTCCGAGCCCTCTCCTTTTTTGTCTCTGTACATTTCTGACATTGAGTGGTTGAGCTCTAGGTACCCGCAGACGGCGACATTGTTTGTCCTCCATTTTTGTTTCTCTGTGACGTCAGGAGAATCTCAACTAGATCTCAACACTGATAGACTTTCATGACACAGTGTCACATGAATTTCTTGTTCAGTGTGAA